ATTTCTCTTTCATCAGTATGTTTCCTTAGTCACTTACCTGGTATAAAATTCTCCAGGGATACTTTTCAAAAACCCAAAATGTTTGCATGTGGCTCCAAAGTCTGAAGGTTCCCAGACTTCCAACACACTCTTGACCTCACTTCTGAAGAGTCCGGCTCAGCAACCCTATTTCTCCTATCCTGTTTGGGCGGCTGGTCTGTCCAGTAATGAGCTCAACAGCCTTTCAATTGGGAGGGTGAAGGGGCTGACCCCAAGCAATGAAAGAAGAAGTTCCAAGTGATGGAGAAGCAGATCCAGGGTCCAAAGCCAGCCCCATGGTTGAGTCCACAGCTGACTCCATCATAACTGGGCCCCAGCTGGGCCATGGCTGTGTCCATTCTTGGGTCCACATCAGTATCCATGTTTGTTTGGGTCCACCGGAGCATCTGCCTCTGACTTCCTATTCTGGGGTCCATGGTGATGAAGCAGGAGTGGTGAACAGAGGCCAGAAGATCTGGGTTTTTTTTCAAACTCCAGATCTGTCAGACTAACCTTGTGACCTTGGGTCAGTTCTATCCCTGGACATTATGCTGAGTGAGGTATCTCAGTCACAAAGGGACAAATGCTATATGGTGCCACTGTTGTAGAATGAGGCTGACATCGGGATGGGGGTAAGACTGAGAAAAACTGGATGAAATATGTTTACGGCATTGAAGTCTTTGGGGGATAGAATATTTTATATTTTAGGGCATTATGTTTATCGTAAGAGTACAGAATGAGGGTTGCAGAGTGGATTATATTTGGGGGTTGGGGGATTGCGTACCAATGAGGGAGTTTTTCTTTTGCGTTTGAAGGAGAGGAGCAAACGGGGGTGGGGGCAGGGAGAGGGGTGCAACAATGAATGAATGGAGTTCCAAAATCTCTGTAGATGTTCATTGAAATGAAAAATAAAGAAATTAAAAAAAATATTTAAAAAAAAATATAAAAAATATATGTATATAAATTAAAAAAAAAAAAGCAGGTTGGACTACTGGATAGAAAGCTCTGGTCACTTAGTGGTAAAGAATTGAACTGCCAACACAAGGGTGTGTGGTTCAAATCTACCAGCTGTTCTGCAGGAGAAGGATGGGCAATCTCCTCCCGTGTGACTTATAGCTTCTGAAAACCCACTGGAGGGTCAGCCACGGGTCAGTTCCAACTCCATGGTACACAATGAAATAACAGATTGGGCTAAAATTGTGGTTTTACAAACTGCTCTCCAGGAGCCCTGGGCTTCTGGTAAGTTTCTTTAAGGTCTTCCAGGATTGGTGAGGGTGTAAGCCAGGCCCTCAGTGTCTTTGGCCAGAACATCCTACAGGTCACCTTTAGTGTAAATCAAGTCTCCAACAAACTTGAGAAAAAGCTTCAGAAGACTAGTGACCATTCATATACTTACCTTGTCGTGCTGGTTAGCCACGAGTCAGAATATTACCAAAAGAAAAAGAAAACCAGACTGTTGTCACAGAGTCAGTGCTAACTCCTGGGGACCCTACCGGACAGAGCAGGACTGCCCCATTGGGGTTTTGAAGGCTGTCATCTTTGTGGAAGCGGACTGTCACATCTTTGTCCCTCAGACAGAGTAGTTAAAGTTGCTCACCTTTGGGTTACCAGCCAATTTCTTAACTGTTAAGGCTCCTCGGACTATATACATACCACTAGAAACTAAATGAATGCTCTCAAGGTAATAATAAAGAAATGTTAGGTGATTGTTATGTGCCGTTGGGTCGGAACTAACTCACGGCTGGCCCGCCGGTGGATTTTCAGAGCCTATACATCACATGGGAGGAGACTGTCCATCTTTCTCCTGAGACACAGCTGGGGGATTCAAATTAACTGCCTTTGAGTTGGCAGCACAACTCCTCAGCTATGAAGTCACAGGAGCTTAAGGACATTGCAAGTTTAAAAAACACAAGATATACAGTAAGGTATAATATGCTGCCTTTCAGGGCGGCTCTTGTGGCATAGCCCGTAGGGCGCTGGGGTGCTGGCCAAGAGTCACACCTTCCCAGCAGTTCTAATTCATCGGTGACTCCTTGGGAGAAAAATGGCCAATCTCCTGCAGTGTGATTTACAGTCTCAGAAACCAAATGCAGAGTCAGCTCTGAGTCTGTTATGAATCAATGGCAAGGAGTGATCGAATGACATTATTTTTCATGTAGGTGTCTATGGCCATATCCAACTTTCAAATGCATGTATACAAACAACTAAAAATACCATCCTTTGAATTAGGTGCACCTTACTCCTTAAACTGACTCTTCACCACTTTAAAGAGGTCCTTGATAGATTTTTCCCAATGCAACATGTCTTTTGATTTCTTGGCTTCTGTTATTGTGGATCCATGCAGGATGAAATTGTTGACATTTTCCATCGTGGTGCGTCTATTAGCCCAGTGCTGAAGATTTTTTTTAAAGCGTCAAAATCTGTAAGTTTATTTTATTAGACATTTATCCACAATTAGAATTCTATGGGTATCATCAAAGCATGAAAAATGAATTTAAGTATAATACTTAACAACTTTGGTGAGCCAAAGAACCACATACAACTTTACTAAGTATAGCCAAAATATTACTCTCTGTCAAATGCCTTCTACTGCTGTCACTGTCATTTTTTTAGCAATTTTGTAAATGTATTTTTTAAATAGAGTCATATAGAAGCTTTTTTTTTCACTGAGTAAAAATGCTTCTTTGATGAATAGATGTTTTTGAATTATGGAAAGAGATTGACAAAAGCTGCTGGTAGGTCTGAACCACCAACCTCAGAGTTAACAACCAATCACAAACCATTTGCACTACTCTCTATGGACAGAATTATGGTGTTGGCAAAGATAATAAACTATCCCATGGACTACCAAAACAACAAGCAAATTTCTTTGACGAAGTGCAACCAGGGTGCAGGTAAGAGGCAAGGAAGGGGAAACTTCATCTCACAACTTTGGACATGCTGTCAGGAGGGGCGAGTCCTTTAAAAAAGACAACTTCCTAGGGAAAGTGGAGCGTTAGCTAAAGGTAGGAAGATCCTTAACAGGATAAGTTGACACAGTGACTGTAACAATGGGCTCAAGCCTGTGAGAATTGTGATGACGGACAAGGTTCAGGTCTGTCGTTCATAGGGTCGCTATGGACATAGCAAATCATGGCTAACTCAACAGCCACTAACAACATAACTGTATCTCCCTGAACATGTCCAATCTTGTCAGTAATGTAATAAATGGAGAAGAAGAAATACATCTGTATATGCTTTCTCTGCATAAAGATACACTTGAATATTATATACAAAGTTAATGAGTTACCTGTGGTATGTGCTGGTGGGGGGGAGGGGAGGGTGGACAGACAGAACGGAGGGGATATAAAGACAAGAGTTAGTGTAGATACAGCCATGTGTGGATGTGTGCTTTCACTGTCACTCTTTTTTTTTTTAATATAAAAGTATCTTTTTCATTCATGTACACAGTGGGGGTTTTTGGGGGGTGTTGTGTGTGCACGCACACATATGTGTTTGACACTTTTTGTTTCATACAATCATTCCCATACCTTGTGTTTTATAAAATTAATCACCATTGGACTATGTCCACCATCACCCCATTTTTTTCGGGTTCCCGCTGGATCTTTCTTATTCCCTTTACCCTCTCACTCCACCTACCAAACTGTGTGACCCTGTGATTTCCCCACCTGGCCATCCTCACCCTTCTGCTCTCACCCCTTCCCCTCTTGGACCTCTATACACATTTTCCTAGTTTTTCTATTTTCACAATTAATGCTCTTATGTTGTATTTGTCTTTCTTAAAATGTTTTACTTTGTGAGCCATGTAAGCATATTACCTTTTCAGAAAATAAGTAAAATTTCTACTTTAAAAATATCTCTGGAGACTAAGGTGTGTCTGATACAGGCCATCGTCTTTGCAATCACTTGTTATGCACCAGAGAGTTGGACAATGACTAGGGAGGATAGAAGGAGAATTGATGCCTTTGATCTGTGGAGCTGGAGAAGAGTATCAAATGTACCATGGACTGCCAAGAAAACAAACAGATTCATCCTGGAGAGGGTTAAACCAGGCTACTCCTTGAAGGCAAGGATTCTGAGGCTCCGTCTGACATACTTTGGACATGTTGTAAGGAGGGACAGGTCCTTGGAGGGGGACATCATGCTTGGAAGGGTGGAGGGACAGCACAGGAGGAGAAGACCCTCTTTGAGGTGGATTGATTCAGTGACTGGGGTAATCGGGATAGGTGTGTCAGAGGCAATGCGATTGGCACAGGACAGAGCAGGGTTTAGGGTTGTTGTACATAGGGTCGCTATGAGTCTCAAGCGACTTGAGGGCACATAACAACAACAACAACAACAACACCCAGTGATAAAGATGCAGGAGGAGAATGAGTTAAGCAGATGTTGTCTAAATGTCCCACAACCTTGCTAAACAGGCACCTGTAGATTCAAGATGGTGGAAACCACTGGGAAAGGGAAAGGGAAAGGGGAAGGGAAAGGGAAAAGGAAAGAGAAAGGAAAGACCCAGGAGGAGAGAGGAGGCCATGGAGCCAGAGGCCTGGGGAGAGACTGTGGCCCCAGGCTCACCTGCTGGGTGGCCAAGGGCCTCATCCAGCCCATCTGCACCCGCAGAAGCTGTAGAGGGGCCTGATACTCTGCTTTGGACCTGCTCTTCTCTCCCCTCCCCTCCCTTCTTCTCCAATCTCCTCCCTCTCCTCTTCCCTCCCCTCCTGGCCTGGAGCTGAGACTGAGGCAGCGGCCCCACCCTCCAGCCTTCAGGACAGAGTCTCCTCCAGGCAGGGCTGTCTCCCGCTGACGCCAACCCCAGACTGTGGCCTGAGCCACGTCCAGGCCAGAGTCCAGGGCACAGATGTTCCCATTCTCTGGCTCCGGACAGGCTTCTTGGAAAAATCACGGAGCCAGCCTTCCTCAATCCACCTTTGAGTGGAGAGAAGAGGGGCCCTTCTCTCCAGGCGGCCGCTGGCACCTGGCTGCCTGCCCTAGCGGCCGGCTGCGGGCTGCCGGTCCATGCGGCCCTTGTGTGTGCGCTGGCTCCTGTCCGAAGCGCCCTGCTGGGAGGCGAGTGGGCCTGAAGCGGGCGCCCAGGCTCCACTCAGACCCTGTTTAAAGGTCTCCATGCCCTCATCAGCTTTTCCTGGCTGGGTCACCAGCAAGTGGTCTGGCTCCCAATAGGGGTGGGGGTGATGACTGCTGTTGCAAGACCCCTGGGCGGGGCACTGCAGCTAGACATGAGAGGAGAACTCAGCGTTTACTCAAGTATCATGATGTGCCAAGTTTGTGGTGTGTGAGACAGCCTCGTATTCAAATCCGGGCTCTGCTGTGGAATACCTGACCTTGCACATGTTGTTCTGATCCTCAGTTTTATCATCTATAAAATGGAAATAACACAATAATATCCATGAAGATGAGATGAAATAAGCAGTAAAAAAATCACCTCCGCTGATGGTGCTGAAAGAAATACTGGCTACTTTCTTGCTCTCCCTCTCTCAGCGTTGGGTGCTAGGTTGTTGTCTGGTAGAGTTTATTATGATCCTGGTGTCAGCTGCCTGGGTTCAAATCCTAGCTACCTGTGTGGTCTTGAGCAAATTACTTAACCTCTCTGTGCCTCTGAAAATGGTGATAATGGCTCAAAAGTAGTTCAAGACTGCTGCTGGGAGAACTAAATGAGTTTCAGGAACCCAGAAGGCCCTGAATTTGTCATGTCGTTGTTGTGGGCCAGTAACTGCCTTGCTTCACCCAGAGTCCTCTGGATCTTTTGGTAGTTGTCAAAACGTGTGTGGGCTCCAGTCTGGGTACCTCTTTAACAGCTCGCTGGACTGTGAGAGAGGAGGGTTCCCAGTACTACTTTTGACCACAGGTGGAGAGAAAGCTTAGTTCTCCTTCATCCCTCCAGGAAGGTGGAGCTAGACCACCCCAGGCCCCCAGCCCATCCAGCATCTGGTTTTCATAAACACCGCCCCCACCCCACTCCCTCATCCTCCACCAGTATGGTATGCCTGGGAAGGAGAATAAATTTCCCTGGTGAACAAAGGCCTCCCTAACCACCCATCTGGGCAACCACGTGTTTGTGGGATGGATAGTCCTCTGGGATTTCTTTCCACCCTGCCTCTCTGGCCCCATAACCACTCCTGCCAAGGGAGGCTGCATCCCTACCCCTGACTGCAGCCTGCCATTCCCTGAGGCTCCACACTGACCACTGTGCCAGAGAACCACCTACCTGTCTGGTGACCACAGCATCCTAGGCCACAGTGAGCCACTAGCCGGCTTCCTGGTGGGCCTGGAACCACTGCACATGAAGCTTGCTCACTGCCAATCCGGGTGCTTTTTATGTGAACTCCTAAGATTGGATATGGCTCTTAGTGGTGCCTCAGGTAGAAGGAAGGATTTCCCAGACTATTCTGCCCTGAGTCCTACCAGAGGCTGACCAGGCCTGGCTCCCTGCCTCATCCCTGACACCCTGCTCCATTCTCATATCCTTGGTACCCTAACTTTCTCCTCTCCTTTTTCACAGACTCCGTTAAGCTTTGCTCTTGATCTCAGCCACAGCTTCTTCAAATATAAGCACATGAAGACACAGCTTTCCATATTCGAGCAAAGAAGGTCAGGGCAGATTCCCACCCATCTCATCTCAACCCTTTTAGCAGGGAGCAGTAAGAATGATGCTGTGGGGAGGTATGACCTCCCTTAACTTCTTGTTTTATGGGACAAGGGGGTGTGAGGAATAAGGGATGGGGAGCAGGAAGAGAATCCCCATCGGCACCTGACCCAAACTGGTTCTAGTAAGATGGAAGTCAACGTGTCTCCAAGTTGTGTATGGATTCTGACCCAGCTGTCCGTGCCACCCACTCTCTTCTTCACTGGTGGGTTTCACACTCTGTTACAAAACCACACCGAACTCAGCTGGCAGCAACACACAATTGTGAGGTTCATTAGGTTCCAGTTCAGAATCAGGAAGGGCTCAGGATACAGCCTTCAGTCTGGACAGTGTCTTCTCAGGCACGCCTACAGGCATAACTCTCTCTGACCCTCAGACCCTCACCCTGATTCTACCTTGCTCAGAGACAAAGTTACAGTTATTTAGCTTTGCTGCTAAGTCCTCAGAGGCAACCCATTCCACCAGACAGCACCTGCTGGAAGGTGGCTCAGCTTCCTGCTACCTGGGACGGGAAGGCCCTGAGCGTGCTCCTGCTCTCCCCCTGCTGCAGTTGCCTCTGCTGTGGCTGCTTCTCTGCCCTCGCTTCTCTCCGTCTCCACGGTCTAGAAGATTCACAGCACAGAGACCCTGCTTCCAAGATGTGTTCTGCTGCAGGCTCTTCTTTTTTTTGTCATTTAAGTCAAAGTTTACAGAAGAAAGGGTAGGTTTTCATTCATTCATTGACATACATTTTCCTCCCTCCCCCAATTCACTTTGTAATGTGTGTCTTATTCCAGATTGTTAATTGTCACACATACAGGTCACACATACAAGGTCACCTCATCCATTCCTTTCAGTTAGTCCTTCCCTTCTCCTGTTCTACTGTACTCTCCATATTCTATCCATTCTTTTTCTGCTTTCCCCTCTCCCATGTCCATCCTATTTTATTAACTGGTCTTATGCCATATTTGTCCTATTGTGACTGAGATATTTCACTCAGCATAACTGAATCTTCTTCTCGATGGTAATGTTGTTGTTGTGTACTCTTGAGTCAGAGCATAGCTGACCCTCCAGGAAGTTTTCAGAGTCAGTAAATTGTTCAGGAGGAAATTACCCATCTTTCTCCTGCAGAGAAGCTGGTGGTTTCGAACCGTGTACCTTTGGGTTAGCAACACAATTCCTTCCTATAAGATAGCAGAGACCCTTAATCCTGAGACAGGCTTCCTTTAAGCCTGTTGCTCATTGCCATAGAGTTGAAATGACTCATAGTGGATCTTCCAGTGGGTTTTCAGAGGCTGTAACTGCTTGGGAAATTATTACCTCTTTCTATAAACTATGTATGCTGCGTTGAAACAGATGAGGGAGAGAACTGTTTAAAAGGGATATATGATTAGATATTATTGTTATGACAGGAGTCCAGAATGAAGGTAGCATAGTGGAGTGGACTTGGGGGGAGGGATTTAATAACAATCAGAGAATTCTTTTTCTTTTGCTTTTCAAAAAGAAAAGCAAATTGTGGGGGAGGGGTGGGCAGGGAGAAAAGTGCAACAATGAAGGAAAGGAAATCCAAAGTCTCTGTAAAGTTACATTAAAATGAATTTAAAATTTAAAAAAATTACCTCTTTCTCTCTCACAGATGGCTAATAAACTTGAATCACCTGCTTTGCATTGATAACGCATCTCCTTACCATTAAGCCACCAGAGCTCTTTTAAGCTTGTTGTTATGAAGTATCAATTCAGAAAGGACTCATAGCTCACCCTCCAGCGGGTTTTCAGAGGCTGTAAATTGCATGGGAGGAGATCGTCCATATTTTTCCACCAGAGAAACGTGATTTCGAACCACATGCCTTTGGCTTGGCAGCACAACTCCTTTCCCCTAGGCCTGTAAGCCTAGGGAATGTAAACTTGACTGATCTCCTGTAAGTTCCATGTACCTCACTTGCCTTAACTGAACTGTCCAATTGCCACAACACCTGATTTGCAGAGCTTCACCAATCATTCTATGAGATTTGCAAGACCATGGATAGAAAGGCCATGTCATATTAAATCACCTCACCACAACTCTCAACTCATGGTGCCCCCTTGTGTTACAGAGCAGAACTGATCCACAGTGTTTTCTTGGCTGTAATCTTTTTCCAGAAACGGACTGAAAAAGCTGCCAGGTAGGTTAGAACTGGCAACGTTTGGGTTAACCAATCACAAGCCTTTTGCACTGCCTACTATGGAGAGAATGCAGCAATCTGCACATGTTCTACAATAAGGTCTGAGGGTTCAAAGAGAATCACTGGTTTAAATAAACAGCATGTCATACAGAGAGACATACAATAGACATCACTCAGCTTTGAAAAAAGAATGAAGTTCTGATGGAATGTAAGACAAAGATGAACCTTAAAAACATTATGCGGGCTGAAACTAAGTCAGACACAAAAGGACAAATGTATGATCCCACTTTTTTGCAATAATCTAGAAAAGACGACTGTACAAAAAACAAAACAAAACAAACCAGAAAGCTGATTAAAAGCTACCAAAAATTGGGGCTGGGCGTGGGAAATGGGAAGTTTTTGCTTAATGGGTACAGAGTTTCTGTGTAATTGTTGTTATGTGCTGTCAAGTGGTTTGTGACTCATAGCGAACCTATGTAAAACAGCCCTAAACTCTGCTCTATCCGTTGCCAATCTTACTGTCTCCGACACTCCTATCCCCATCCCCAGTGATGGAATCAGTCCATCTCATCAAGAGTCTTCCTCTCCTGCACTGTCCCTCCACCTTCCCAGCATGGTGTCCCTCTCCAAGGACTGGTCCCACCTTGCAACATGTCCAAAGTATGTCAGACGGAGCCTTAGAAACCTTGCCTCCAAGGAGCAGCCGGGATTCACCCTCTCCAGGACGAATTTGTTTATTTTCCTAGCAATCCATGGTATATTTAATACTCTTCTCCAGCACCACAGCTCAAAGGCATCAAACTCTCCTTCTATCATCCCTAGTCATTGTCCAACTCTCTGACGCATAGCGAGTAATTGCAAAGACCATGGCCTGTATCAGGTACACCTTAGTCTCCAGACTGACATCATTGCTCCTCAGTACCTTGGAGAGGTCTCTGACGTAAACTTTTCCAATGCAATTCATCTTTTAATTTCCTGGCTGCTGGTACCAAGAGTGTTGATTGTAGAGCCAAACAAACTTAAGCTGTCAACAATCTCAATCTCTTCACCATCTATGATGCTGCCAATCGGCCCAGTGGTGAGAATCTTTGTCTTCTTCACATTGAGCCTCAATCAATACTGAAGGTTGCATTCCTTGACCCTCGGCAGCAAGCGCTTCAGGTCCTCCTCAGTTTCAGCAAGCAGGTTTGTGTCATCTGAGTAATGAAAAATATTTGAAAGTAGAGAGTATGATGTTATACAACACTGTACATTTAATATTACCAAATCATACATATTTAAGTGAGTAAAACAGAAAATTTATATTATACATTTGATTTAAAAAACAAAACAAGAGCAACAGTAGAATATAGGGCGTCATAGATGATGATTTGGTCTACTTTGTTCCTTATACCTTCCCAGCATCAAGAAAAGTGGCTGATACATG